GGAAGAGAGCTAGCATCACATTTTCCACTTTACCTCTTAGGAGTTCTGAAGAGAGAAGGGCCATGTTATCTAAACATTGCATCAATTTATGTGGTTTGATTTCCTTCCTAGACATAGAGTTGATATCCACTGTGTGCAATAAAACAGTAACTATTAGGCGGTTTGTTTTTTACTATGGTGATGTTTGTCTATAATCCCAGCACTTGGAAGGTAGAGACTGAGGATCCCAGGCTGGCCAAGACTGCATCACAAGACTGTCTTGTAATTCATTAATTATCAAGCAAAAAAACAAATAAAACAAACAAACAAACAAAAAACCCCTACACACATACCAGTATAAGAAATTTTAATGGTAAATGATGTGTTTTAAGCTCTCAAAGAACTTAACAATGTAAGAGAAGACATTTTAAACATATTATTCAAATGTATACTTAATCCTTCAATTAACAAACAGGTATTGCATTGCCAGTATTAGGGGAAGTGGGGAAATGACTGGAAACAGAACAATGAAATTACCTTACTGATCACACATAATCTATTGGGCAGATAATAGATAGGCAAATGCATTAAAATATTTTGTTGAGGCTACTATAATTGTATGCTTATATACTATATTATAAACATGTAAGTATTTATCTCTACTGCCTTTTAAATGGATCAAGAAATATATGAAATCTAAGAGCAAAAAGGTGATAGAAGAATAACAAAAAACTTTACATTAAAAAGATAATAGGAACTTAATATGACTTAGTATACCAGAAAAAGCTGATGCCTAATCCCCTACAAGCAAACCCAGCAGAGAACTCTAGAAGAGACAAGCATTGTCAACAGCAGGAAGTGTTTTCTGCATTGTTTTCCTTATTGTTGACTTGTAAAAGTTGTTTGTATATTGTGAAAAATCCTTTGCTAGTTACATAGGTCATAAATATTTCCTCTTAGAAGAGGACTTACATTTTTATTTTCTTAATTGTATCTTTTAAAAAGCAGAGGAAATTATTTGGCTGAGGCCCAATTTGCATATGCTGTTTCTTTTTCTTCTGTGTGTTACTTAAATGTTAATGTGTCTCATGGTTACACAAATTTTATTTTGTTTTCTTTTTTTTTAATTATTTATTTATGTATGTGCATATACTGTAGCTTTCAGACACACCAGAAAAGGACATCACATCCCATTACAGATGGTTGTGAGCCACCATGTGGTTGCTGGGAATTGAACTCAGGACCTCTGGAAGAGCAGTCAGTGCTCTTAACCTCTGAGCCATTTCTCCAGCCCTTATCTTGTTTTCTATGAGAAATTTTTCTTTTACTTTACACCTGTTATAAGTTATCCATTACAGAAGCCACTAGCCACATGTAATTCTTAAGCACTAAGATGTGGCTAGTCTAGATTAAATTATATATATTATATTAGTATGTAATTTATATAATTGCATATATTATAAATTTATATAAATTACATATAATAAATTACATATAATAAATAATCTTTATTATACAATAAAATGTTGATATGTGGATATATGGAGCTGAACAAAATATATTGCTAAGTTTAAAAGTATATAAATAAAATATTTACACAAATTACCAAAGACCCAAATAAATAAAAATGACCTATTATAAAGGAAGAACTCACTATTTTATATATTTCCATTTTCCCAAAATTGATCTGTGAAGATCTTTTTTATGTGTATGGGCAAATACACATGTATATCTGTGGCTTCTGTATGGTGTATGTCTGGTATCTTGGAGGACAAAAGAGGGCACAATCAAATGCCCGGAAACTTGAGTTAGACAGTTGTGAGCTGCTATGTGCGTGCTAGGAATTAAATCCTGGCCCATTTGAAGAGCAGCCAGTGAACTGCTAAGCCATTGCTTCAGCTCCCAAATCTAATAGCTTATAAAGAAAAATTTTATTATTAAATGAAATCAAGGCTATCTTTTACCAGTGTTTAGGAGCCCTAATAGAAATGCAAGCCAAAGCACAGAGACACCACATTTATTTCAGGGCTACCAGTCACTTGATTTTTGTTTTGAAATGGGCGTTTCATATTGCCCAGGCTGGCCTGGAACCCAGTATGTGTCTGAGAATGACCTTGAACTTTGATATTCCTGCCTCCACCTCAGCAATGCTAGGGTTTCCGGCACATGTTAACAATGCTTGGTTGTACGCACTAGGCAGCCACATCTCTGTCTCCAACTAATAATTTGACTCCTTAACTATGGAGAGAATTTTTACCTTTTTTTTTTTTTTTTGCATCTCCATTTTTTTCTTTTGTTGGCTTTTGTTTATTTGTTTGTTCGGTTTTTTTAATATATATTTTTTTAATCAAGTCATAATTTTTACTTATTCACACGGGTTATAAACACAAAAAGGCAGGACGTGGGGAAGGGGGGAGTGCAGATATCTTTCAGAACATGGTATCGGCTGGGTAAAGGTTCAGGGGACAGGTCACTATGACTCTGCCTATGATTCACTTGTCCTTATCTAAGTTGGTATTATCCACCAAGGCTACCTGTTTACAAGGTCTATGACTACTCAGGCTGGTAAATTTCCACAAAAATGTTACCTGTTTACATTTTTTCTTTCTCTAAGCTTGAAGAATGGCTATTCCTAACTAAAAGTCTTTTGAGTTAGGTAAATACTATATGTATTTCTAAGGCAGTAAAAGCACTTTTGAACTTCTGAAATGTTTCTGACCTGTTTTGAATGGCCATATTCAGGAAGTTGTTGGCATTTCTGGTATGTTCAATATCGAATAGCAAAAATAAGTGTTCTTAGTGTTCTTTTTTGTTTTTTCAGATTGAACTTAGAGCTTACTCAGTCCCTTCCCCCAGACCCCCCTTGGGCACGTGTGTGTGTCTGTCTGTCTATATGGGAGTCTGTGTACCATAGTATATGTGTGGAGGATAGGATAACTTGTGAAACTTAGTTCTCCTTCTGCCATGTAGGCCTCAGGACTTGAACTCAGCTTGTCAAGCTTGTGGGCAGACACTTTTGCCAGCCCATGAGCCCAGGGTTTTGTGCATGCTAGGTGACCAGCACCTTTAGCATTCATTATGACATGGGTGGTAGTGGTGGTGGTGATGGTGGTGGTCGTGGTGGTGGTGGTGGTGTTTGATTGGTGTGGTTTGGTTTTGGTTTTTATTTAATTATATATATATATATGGGAGGGTATATGGATGCATGAGTGCAGATGTCAGTGGATCTAGGAGAGAATGTCCCTGTAAGCTGAAGCCACAGGCAATTGTGAGCCACCTAGTGTCAGTGCTAAGAACTGAATTTGAGTTCTGAATTTGAGTTCTCTGTAACATTAATATATACTCCTAACTGAGCCATCTCTTTAGCCCCATCTCTATCACTCTTAATTAACTGTGAATTAAAATATAATAATATAAAATTTGGGGCTGGGAAGAAAGTTCTGCTGGTAAAGTACTTGTCTTGCAAGTATGAAGACCTTAGTTCAGTCTCCAGAACCACATTTTCAAAAGCCAAGTTTGGTAGTACACACTTGTAATTTCAGCGTTAGACAGGTAGAGACAGGTCCCAGGGATTCACTAGCTTCCAGCCTCTCCACTATTGGGCAAGTTCCAGGTTGTTAACATGACAGGAGTTAACTCCTTTATCTCTGTCTTATTCTTTCAGGGAAATGTGCTGTGCTGTCATTCAAGGACTTCCTCTCCTGCAGGCCAACTGAAATACCAGAAAATGACATTCTGCTTTGTGAGAGCCGCTATAATGAGAGTGACAAGCAGATGAAGAAGTTCAAGGGGTTGAAGAGGTTTTCACTCTCTGCTAAAGTTGTAGATGATGAAATTTACTACTTCAGGTAAAGCTTGTAAAACTAAAAAAGGGCGCTTGGGCTAACACAGCAGTCATGTAACCCAGTGTTCTGAGTTGTTGTATTAGGTCTTGAACTATCGTATAATTCCAATAGAAAATATCAATTTAGTGAGATCTAGTAATTCCCATACTTGGGAGGGTGAGGCAGGAGATAGTATTAAGTTTGAGTCAGCTTTTTGTTTTGTTTTGTTACAGAGAGAAAAAGTATTGCGTTAAAAAAAAAAAAGTTTTAATAGTACCTTGGCTTAGACACCAGCAATTGTAGAATGAAGACAGAAACACTTGGTTCTGTTGGCAGCCTCTCTGTGGGAAGATTTGCTCAGTTTCATAGATTATGACAACTCCTTTTTAACATATAGTCCACTAGACCTGACCAGTCCCTCTGTGAGTATTGATCAGAATTGTTAATAAGTAGAAGTAACATCACAAATACCCATTGAAGCCGCTTTGCTAGCCTTATAGAGTGTTTGCGGCAGGTTGTAAAATGTCATTTGTAAATGGTTTCAGGTCTGCTCTCTGACTAGTCTTGGAAACGGTTGGCAACTTTGTACTTACTTGTTTGTTTTTGTCACTGTTTTTCAGGAAACCAATCGTTCCTCAGAAGGAACCCTCACCTTTGTTAGAAAAGAAGATCCAATTGCTAGAAGCTAAATTTGCTGAGTTAGAAGGTGGAGATGATGATATTGAAGAAATGGGAGAAGAGGATAGTGAAGTCATTGAACCTCCATCTCTACCTCAGCTTCAGACACCTCTGGCCAATGAGCTGGACCTCATGCCCTATACACCCCCACAGGTACAGTGATATACCCCATGACTTGCCTTCTCAGTTCTAGTCTTTAGCAGACTCAAACCAGAGTAGGAGGCATGGAGGCATCAGCCCCCCCCCCCCCCCCCCCCCCCCCGGTATATGTCAGACTTTTCTTTGAAATGTCAGTTAGCCTAGGCTGGCTTCAGACTTCTTGTGTATTTAAGGTGGGCCTTGAACTCTTATTCCTCTTGCCTCCGTTTCCAAAACAAGCACTGGGAGTACAGGTGTACACTGCCACACACTTCATGTTTGAATTTTTGCCTAGAAATCTGCACTAAGGAATAATAGTGTTTTGTCTTTGTTTTGCAGACCCTTTGTTTATTTATTTTTAATTGGCAAAAAGCATACCTATATCATTAAGCCAATAATAATTTCTTTTAAATTTCATAGTGATGGTTTAAGAGGAGTTTAGAAGGTTATTGCCTTGTAGACAAGAAGTAATAAGGAATGGTATTATATTCCTCCTCCACCTTAGCTTTCAGCGCCCACACACAAGATCTTTCTGCCTCCACTTCAGCCTCCTGAGTAATAGGATTATAGATATATTCTGCCATACCTGGATGCCTACGTCTTTTTAATTTCCCCTTCCTTTGGACTTCATCTTTTAGTTGAGGTGATCCCTCTTCTGTTTCTTTTCCTCATTCAGAATTTTCTTGAGACTTAATTGTGAGGTCACCATTGTAGGCTATAGTCATGGAATTCAGTGAAATTTTCATTTATTTTTGTACAAGACAAGGAGGAAGTATATTTTGACCAAGAAAATGTCAGCTACAAACTGAGTATGTCTATAAAACATTATTGCATTATATGTGTCTGGCTTCTAGAAACTGTAGAAACAGTGCAATTTTCTGATACTTTATATAATAGCTTTCTGTCTTACAGTCTACCCCAAAGTCTGCCAAAGGCAGTGCAAAGAAGGAAGGTTCTAAACGGAAAATCAACATGAGTGGCTACATTTTGTTCAGCAGTGAAATGAGAGCTGTGATTAAAGCCCAGCACCCAGACTATTCTTTTGGGGAGCTCAGCAGACTGGTGGGGACAGAATGGAGAAACCTTGAAACAGCCAAGAAAGCAGAATATGAAGGTAAATAAGGACTAGGCACAACTGTCTCCACTTTGTAAGCAAGGGGTGTTTTCAGGAATGCACATGCATATACAAGCTTTACTCTGTTATTCTTACCACATGCACATGAATCTGGTGTTTTGGACTGTCCCAGCTGGCAGTAGATGCCAGTACCTAGAGAGTTGCCTCTGACTTGACCTCAGATCCTTGTGTTGCCCCTCCTGGCAAATTTCTCAAACAAAAATATTTTGCTATTAAAAATTGCATGATTTTATTTCATATATACCTGTAGGTACACACATGTTGACCTGGGGAAAGATTGTTCAATATGTTAACTATAATTTTGATTAAAATTCACCTGAATGTGGCCTTCTAAAATAAGTGGTCTTCTGTATGGCTCTTGATAAGCCAAAACTGTTAAACTTTAGGCTGAGGCATGGTGTGCCTGGTTTCCTAGGCCAGTCCTGGCCTGTACTGTGTCTGTGTTGATACCTGCTCTTAAGATACTTGGATGACTTTGACAAAGCTCAGCTGCCTTCATTTTCCCCTTACTCTTTGATTGATATGATTGATCAGTTTGAACCATGAGCTACTTAAAGATTTGGTGGTTCATAGTTATAAAAAATTAATTCCTTAAGAGATTTTTGGTGGTTTGGATTTTTCACTGTAGTAGTTAATATTGAGTATGGCTTTAATAAGTGAGAGTAATGCCAGGCAGTGGTGGCGCACGCCTTTAATTCCAGCACTTGGGAGGTAGAGGCAGGCAGATTTCTGAGTTCGAGGCCAGCCTGGTCTACAGAGTGAGTTCCAGGACAGCCAGGGCTACACAGAGAAACCCTGTCTCGAAAAACCAAATAATAATAATAATAATAATAATAATAATAATAATAATAATAATAAGTGAGAGTAAGCATTACATTTGGCAATACTTTGAGTTGTAGTTTTCCACTTCAAATTTTGTATGTTAAATAATTTTCCAGTATAGTCTTCCTCTCTAACTTGACTAAGTCCAAATCCATTATTTATGTGGCATCTATTAATACCCAAGAACCTTCTTTGAGAAAGTCTAGTCAATCCCATAAGAACCTAGAACTCTTGGACACTTTGATGTTTTAGGGCTTACTTCAAGTTAAGACCAAATGTACTACTAAGTTGGAGGACTGTTGCTAAGAAGCTTGGCTGACATAGTGCAAAGCCTATCTCAAAGCAAACAAAGCTAGTACTGTGTGACTGGTTATTTAGGGTACAAATAGGACAAAGAGATCTAGAGATCATCTGATGGCAGAAAAACTGTAGCATGGCTGAAGGAAGAAGAGATGATATTTGAAAAGTTCTCTCATATTTAATGGGGTATGTGAAATTAGGAAGAACCTAGTGAGAGGTGAGTTATGTTTCAGTAGCCTGAAATTCAAACTCTGAACTTTGGGTGTTTCTGCCCACTGAATTCAAAACACAAAGTTGGGAGTTTGGCTGGCATGGTTTTAGTAATTCTGAATTCCAAAGCAGCCTAGTTCAGCTTCTTTCAGAAAGAACTAATATTTTATCCACACAGCTGAGCTTTTCTGTTTTTCCAACTTTAATTTTTGTTTTTTTTTCCCTCCAGTTTATTGTTTCATTTGTGTAATGAAAAAACTAGCATTTAATATTGGGGCATCTAGAGCACAGGTTTTTTTTTTTTTTTTTTAACTACTAGAGGATAAGTTGTTAGAATGGGTTTGCTTTTCATACTCACTATGCAGAAGATACCAGGCTGAGACAATCCTAGTGAGTGATGCTAAGTGTCTACAAGCAACTTCATCAGCCTCAGGAGCTTTGACTTGCACAATTTTCACATTCTTCCCATAAAGGAGTGGAGCTGTTGCTTCTTGAGTCTCTTTAAAGCCATGTACCTCAAACTGTTTAACCCAAATAGCTGTAGTCTTTTGAATTCCATGTTGGAGAGATAACTGTGGAAGTTGAAGTATGACACCAGGCGTCGGGGCCATGAGTTGCTCTTTCTCCTGTATTCTTGAACAAGTCACTGCCTGTACCCCAGCTTCTGTCTGCCCATCTGAAGAGTGGGAAGGACTTCCTACTTAGAATGTGAAGCTGAATAAACCCTGTATGGTGAGAGCTTTGGGAATATGCTCTCATAGAAGGTCCAGCGTGCTGAGAGCATGACTGTTGAGGGTGCTGGCTCTAGAGGTGCAGAGTAGCCTAAGGAAGTAAGGAGGTTTATCAGTTACTAGCCGAGAGGTTCCAGAAACATGTGTTCCTCTTGCATTTCAAGTACACTGATAGTCGGTGCTGGAATTCTTGCTGATTTAGGATTCATGGTCGTTTTGAACTCAGCTTCAGGGAACCTGGTTCTTTCAGAATATTGTCCATTGCTATATACATGTATGTATTAGTTTCCCTCTTCTGATGACTACAGTGTAGCTAATCATGTATTTTCCTCCCTTGGAGTTAGTTAATCATGACCTCTTTCTTTGCTTCATTAGAATGTAGAAACTGGCTGTTTACTTTTCCTAAAGTCTTAAGGTAGAGGCAGTAAGCTACTTTTCCCTTACAGAGTTAATTTTCTTCAGCTGCTAAACTTGTGATATCAATGATGAGTCCTCAAATTTTAGTAAAATTGGATACAAGGAATCAGAAAATTAGAGTAAGTACAATTGTTCCAAAAATTATAATGGGCCATGGAATTGCTTCATGTTGAAATTGTAATCTGTAATGCTATTACTACTAGAATAATGGTAGCGCTTCTCATCTTCAGAGTGCCTCGTGAGATTAACCACGCTGGTCACCTGGTGATGTGTTTTGATAAAATCTGTGCTTTCTGAATGTGTGTTGCAGTCTTAACATTCTTGAAATCTTTGCAGACCAGTTCTCAAGATGGGATAGGAAAGCTGAATTCTAGGTTACCAAGTGAAATCGGCCCGACTCCTGTGTTGAGACTAGTCATCTACCGTTCCTTCCATTGAGACAGAACTGTTGCCTGTGTTTTTACTAGTCCTGTTGAATGCAATGGATGGTATTTTGAATTCCTGGGTTAAAAACAGAATTGAAAATGTGAAATGCCTTTACAGAGCGGGCAGCTAAAGTTGCTGAGCAGCAGGAGAGAGAGCGAGCAGCACAGCAACAGCAGCCGAGTGCTTCTCCCCGAGCAGGCACCCCTGTGGGGGCTCTCATGGGGGTGGTGCCACCACCAACACCAATGGGGATGCTCAATCAGCAGTTGACACCTGTTGCAGGTAAAAACAGGAGCTAAGACCATTTTTTTCCACTTTAAGAAATTCCTTCATTTTTTTTTCTCCAAAAGGAGTAGGCCACAGTCTGTAGCCTTTTCTCATGACAGATTCCAAGTTTGAAGTCATCCATGTTGTCCTGTATTGCTTTTCCCATACAGGCAATGCCTCTTCTCTATCCCAAAAGTGGGCCCTAGGCCCGACCCTGCCAATTGGTAGGTCGCAGCTCTTGTCTTGCTGTAGGCATGGTCTGGTAATGTTCTTACTCCAGACTGCTCTTTGATAGAGCACTACAGCAGGAAGTATAAGTAGACCTTGAGTTCTGTTCTGAGGAACTCCAAGGAAAATATAACAGCAGTCTTCAGGTGATACTGATTCTCCGTCTCATGCCAGTTCAGTTTGCCCTATTCTGCTGCAGCCATCCTTAAAAGACTGACCACTTAAAAGGATTTTTGACAGTGAATTATTAAATCCTTTCTTGGTCACCAATATGCATGACTGCTAAATAGGGGGGAAGTCCTTGTTCAATTCATTGTGCCCACTCTGTAATGCTTTTCTATTTAATACATTAAACTGCATTTTCTGTTAGTATCCCAGTCACATATTTAAATAAATAAGATGAAAGAAAGAAAAGGAAAAAGAAATGATGAATGTGGTTTGCTTGTGTGTGTTGTCTCTGGTTCTGGTAGCCATAGCAAATTTGACTACTGTTGAACTGAAATCTTGTCTGACATGTCTCCACAAAAAGCCTGTGGACCACTTCTCAGGCCCTTCCTTTGTTACCTCTCCACATCTGGTGAGCTCTATACAAGCCACCTGTGATTCTTCTTACACAAGTGTCTGACTTCTTTTGCACAGAGTCCAAGACAGTGTTGTTCAAGGCAGCTTTGTGGGAATACTTTTTTTGTTTTTGCTGTTTTTTGTTCTTGCCGTTTTCGGTTTTTTGTTGTTGTTGTTTTGGGTTTGTTTTTTTTTTTTTTTTTTTTTGCCTTTTTTGTTTTTGCTTTTAGAGGAAAGATTGCACAGGATAACTTTCCCATTGTTGCTCCTAACTTTTGTGATGGCAAATTCTCAAATGCACTGTCGCTGACCTCAGCAGTTGCACGCGCCAAAGCACATCTGAGTCATGGCTCTCAGTGCTTTCAGTGTGACTGATGTTGATCTAACAAATCTCATAACCGCCTGCTCTATTCCATGGCCCATTCTGGTTAATGGGGTTCCAGAGGTTTGCAGAAATCAGGTCTTGATCATGGGGACTTTGAAAGTTAGGATTCCCTCATTGACACCCTATTTTGTTCTATTTGATGTATAATACTGTGGCACTATGTCCTTGACTACAAAATCCAGGAACATATATTAACAAAATGAATACATGTAGCTAAAAATGAAACAAAAATTAGCAGCTGCAGCATTTTAGCTCCCTGTTGGGGAATAGCATCTGTGGTTGAGAAGGGTGGTTCTCTAGAAGACCCCTGCTCTGTTAACTAAAGGTGTGTTGCCTAGGCTTCTGGGCCACGGGACTGAAGGGCACAGATTCTCTACAGTAAAAGTCTTTGGTCCACAGTGAGAATTTTGCGGTAAAAAGGGTAATTTTTCATGGAATTATAGGTTGTTTAGGGCCTTAGTCATATCCTTCTTGCTGTCTGAGACCAGCTTTGCTTACAAGCATTGAAGCTCATTTGAACACATGTGACTGGGATAATAAATGCCAAAGTACAGTTTAATGAAGACAAGTGTTGTGTCTTTCAGTTCTTAATAATCTTCAACCACAGCCTGTGACGGCTGCGTTCAGATGGGCTTTTGTAATTGAAAGCAAAGCCTCCTAACATTGTTCAACCTCTCACCTGCTTATCCTTAAAAGCTCGTCCTGGCGGTGTGTTGAAAGGGCAGTTTGGCAACATTGGATTTCATCGTGTTTTAAGATGATGGTATCTACTCAAAACCATTTTTACTTCGAACTCTTAAAAACTGAAATGCATCCTATTTCATGTATAGAAATATTTCAAAGTTGTTTTGTGTAGTTGTTTTTGTAGCCAGTTTAGATGTGACTAAGGAGGCAAGGTGAGTCAGTCTAGGGTTCTCAGTGTGCCAGAGCTTTAGAAGACTAAACTTGTGCAAACAAATGTTTCAGATACCTCCTCCTCAAAGAAAGTAAGACTGAAACTCTATTCAAAGAGTATTTTGATGCTATGCCTTTGCCCCTTCCTATGTGAGAAACTGCCTAAAAGTGACTACTGTACTCAAGAGGGAGCTTTACCTTATTCATTAGACTCCTACAGATTCTGAGTCATAGTTTGTTTTTGTGTTTTTGATAGGTGAGTCCTCACTGAAATTATTTTCACCTCTTTTCCAAAAATACTTGTTTGTCATAACATTTCCCTAGCCAGATGGTTTATTATATGATGGTATGCTTGGAAAATAAAGGAATGAAATCTCTGTTCATAGGAGTCTGTACCTCAGTTAAAATGCTCCCTGTCAGTTGAAGGTTTACATGTGTGAGCCTGGAGACAGTGATGACAACTGACATTTTCTCCTGTAGTGGCAGAGCCTGATTCTCCAGCTGTTCTTCCTGCAGGCCTGCTGCATGTAGGTTTCTGAACTACGTGGACTTTAGTTGGCTTGAGAAAATTTAGATTTCTCCTTAACATATTTTGAAATCTAAAGATGAAATATTATTCATTGCAATAGCTGTTAGTTGTTCTCCAGCTCAAACCTTAATGTAATCCATTCTTAACAGCAGTGGTGGAGATAGAAGGGAGGAGTATGTGAAGAAGTCTTGAAACTTTTTTGCTCCCAAACTGGAGAACCATGCCTTGTGATCAGGACTGTGCACCTCATTTCCCTCCATTCTGATTTCCCTTCATGCGCACCCACAATAGGGATGTGAGTGCGGGCAGAGTGGAGTAATGGGGTATGTACTGATCACTTGGAGTTGCAGGTGGCAGAACTGGTCACTGGTTGAACAGTTTGCAAAGTCTGTCCTTGGGAAAGCTGTGTTACAAGAACTCTTCTTTTATTAAATGAGAATATTATATTAGCTTATTGAGAATAATTATAAATAATAATTTACTAAATACTAATTCATCCAAAAGTATTGGGTTTCATTATAACTTTATTTTGTTCATTACTGCAACAAAATAATTGCACTAATTGCTGTTATATCATGCAGTACTAAGGGTGCTTTATTCATTGGTAGTGCATGGAGGGGTTGTTATTACTTAGCTCATGTTGCATGTTAATGATGCATGTCTGAAATTTGTTGTGTCCTTCAAGGCATGATGGGTGGCTATCCGCCAGGCCTTCCACCTTTGCAGGGCCCAGTTGATGGCCTTGTTAGCATGGGCAGCATGCAGCCACTTCACCCTGGGGGGCCTCCACCTCACCATCTTCCGCCAGGTGTGCCTGGCCTCCCAGGCATCCCACCACCCGGTAAGAACTTCATCCTCATTCACTCATTAATCTCATTTTTTTTTCTATTCTTTTTCCTCCCTCAGCCAATTCTTCCAGGAGGCACCTGCTGCCCATGGTGGCCAGGCTTCCCTCACAAAGAATCTCAGGGCTGTCAGTAGTAGGGCCTGTCCTATGTGTTGATCAGGTGACCTACCAACAGCAGCACAGGATGCACTGCAGAGACCAGGCCCATAGATCAAGGAGCTGGAGGCATGGTCCAGTATCAGATATGACATGTTTGAAAAGCCTTAAGGGCTACAGCCTCTTATCAGAGAATTGCCAGTTCAGAGTCATATATAAAAATACTCTTTACTCCCAGAGCATTTCTTTACCTGGTGACATTCTTACTTGATAGGGTCTTCATTGTAGAGTCCCTGTTCCAACTCTTCCTCCTCAATAGCCCTTTTGAAGTAATCAGAACTACATATGTGAAGCTCCTCAGAAATCCTTCACTTTGTAGCACAGTGTAGGAAGGGAGGGAGTTTATATTGAATTAGTCTTCTTGAGTCCCCTCAACAAGCATAACATGACCTTGTTACCTATGGACATGTTTGTATGTCAATAGAAACCAAAATTTCTTCTGTATAGAAATATATAAATGGAGCTCAGAATTTACTACATTGTTTCACTTTATAATGGAAGTTGAAAGATTGGAAAATCACAAGTTTCCATAATTTCCATCATATATGCAAAAGAACTTACTTTTGGCTATAATCTAGTTAGGGGGAAATGGACTTTTAAATGACTTGGAGCAACAATCAATCCATTACGGAAATGTCATCTAAGAGAGCCAAAACCCAGGTGAAATGCGGATGGAGCCTATCAGGTTTGCTTGCATTATGCTTGGACCCTCTGCCCATAGAGTTCTTAGTGGTTTGAAATAATGTTTCAGAGGGTGAACCCAATAGTGTATAGGGAAAACAAATGTTAACCCCAACATACTTTTTTTTTTTAAATTGTGATAGGATCAGGCTTGTACACAAGGCTGGCCTGGAACTCACGAGAGTACTGTACTGTCTCACCATCCCAATGCAGGGGTAACAAGCATGCATTCCACTGCTGTAGTTTAGCCACATTCTCTGTGTTCCTTAGAGGATGGCCATAACTCCAACAATGCTTTTTTTTTTCCCAATGTTCCCAGAGGAAGAAATGATTGTGGTATTTGTACTTCATTCTGGATGTGGTGACTTATGTGAAATGCTGTGAGACCAGAAGTCAATCAGAAAATAAGTTTTCTCATGGCAAATGAACTTGTTCCTAAATCTGTACCCTCATACCTTGGCACAAGGTTCTCTGAGTCAGTCTGTGAAACCTTGTTGGAATTGACACCTTCTAAATGTATATACCACTTGATAGAAGTCCTGTTTAAGGCCAGATACACACTCCAGTTTAGCAGCTGTGTTTTGGTGGTTCTGGGGGCAATGCTAGCCTCTCTTCTCTTGACTATAGAATCTAAACTCCTTTGGAAGAAAGGCCAGCACACCTGGTAACGGTCAGAGAGACAGGAAGAACTTGTTGTAAGCCCATGCACAGCTGATCTGGCTTTGAGCGTCAAGGAGCTCATCTGTTGTTGTCTCAGCTCCTGTTTTCAGTGGCTTACCCCAAGCATGTTATTTGTAAACAGGAAGTAGAACGGTTGCTGATTTGTTTGTGCTTCCCTGCAAATCTGTGATGCAGCCAGTTTTGGGAGCCTCTCAGTGTATAGGATCTAAGATCAATGAGTAACCTGCAGGGATCAGGGGCCGAGGGTTATGTGTTGCTGAAAACAGCAGCTTACCTACCATTCCACGACTGTGATGACCCGGTTACAGTTCCAAGTACTTGGCATATTCCATTTTAAGCAGAAACTTGTTTCACTTTTCTTTCTCTCTCTCTAACAAATAAGATGCCTTGTACTTCTTGGAAGTGACACTTAAGAACTCTGAATCTTCAAAAGGTTCAATTTTCTTCCTATCAAAATGCTAGCTATGGGAGAGAGCTGTATTTAGTAACCCAGGCTGGCCTCAGATTTACAGCAATATTCCTGTTTCAGCTTTGCAAGTGCTAGAATAACAGGTGTGAGCTAACATACACAGCAAAGCATCAGCGTTTTTAAACAGAGGCCCAGAAGCCTAGGAAGCTGGTTCCTCCTAGTCCCGCTATACAGATCACTAACAGGATATGCTTATGCTTTAAGGAACAGCTTAAAATGATTTGTTGTGGTTTGTTAGTTTAAACTGAGTCCCCTGGCTATTTTGTTTTGTTATAATAGCACATAGCCCTGAGATGACAATTGCCTTAAAGGCTAAATTTGGGACATTCTATTGTTATCAATTAGTGCCTGTGAGACAGCAATTGCTCGTGAACATTCACCCAAGGAAGTTTACTCAGTGATTACCAGGGAGAATAGGGTCACAAAGCCTTTCTCTATTCTTTGTCATTTGGAATCTGGGGTAATGGCAACAAGGTTACACTGCTTCCACATCATCCATTGAAATGCCTTCTTTCTGCCAACATTAGTGCCTGAGGTAGACCCAGCTGGTAACCTGCAAAAGCACATTAAGGTAGTGACTCCAGCCTCTACAGGATTCAGATAACTGTTCTTCCTCAACCCTTGTTTCCTGTGCTAGTACAATAGTTACTGCTCAACCTGATCCCACAGGCTCCAATTGCAAAGAAACTATGTGGTCAGGAGAAAAGTACCTTGAAAACAGAAGTGTATTCTAATTACTGCTCACTCACCAGGGTAACCCTAGAATTTTATTCAGGGTTTAAAACAGTCTATGCCTGGAATAATTATTGTACCTCTGACAAAGTATACTACTACTGTGCTTTAAGTAGCCAGAAACAAAAGAGTATAAAATTCCTAATTAGATTCTGTTTAGGGTGCTCCTATCCACACTCAAGGGCAAACGTACATGGGTTGGCATTATAAATGGCACCAGCTCTTGTCAGTTTATCAGTCAGCAAAACCCAAAGCCACTAATTGTGCCATTGCATTCTGAATTATAGGTGTGATGAATCAAGGAGTAGCCCCCATGGTAGGGACTCCAGCACCAGGTGGAAGTCCATATGGACAACAGGTAAGCCTCCTTGTTTAATTTTCCTTGAACTTGAGATTTTTTTAGCCATCTACCTTCTCAGAACATGTGCCGATTATCTTTTGACATAATCATTTGATCCCGGCTCTTTCAGGTAGGAGTTCTGGGACCTCCAGGGCAGCAGGCACCACCTCCATATCCTGGTCCTCATCCAACGGGCCCACCAGTCATACAGCAGCCAACAACGCCCATGTTTGTGGCTCCCCCACCAAAGACCCAAAGGCTTCTCCATTCAGAGGCCTACCTGAAATACATTGAAGGACTCAGTGCTGAATCCAACAGCATTAGCAAGTGGGACCAAACTCTAGCAGGTAAAGAGAGTACTGTTGAATACATGTTTCCTCCCAGTCCTCTCACTACTGCAACATCCTTTTTCTTATAAAGGGAAATAAATTATATATTTCTTAGAATAGATTTGGGGTTCTTTGCATATTGACCCAGTAAAAATGGGCTTAAAAAAAAAAATCAAAGCTCAGTCATAACATACTACCATCTTCTCAAATACATTCTGATTTTCTTTTCAGGTTTTTTTTTTCTCCCCAGATATTTAAGCTTTAGAATACATGTCAAACTTTAAAAAGAGGAAAATGGAAAGCTTATTTCTTTAGTCTACCAAGCTATTCATTTAGTTGAATAGGGAATATGTCTACAGTATATAGTAACATGGTGTGCCTTGTTTCTCAAAAGAAAAAAAAAGGAAGCTTCTGCTTATTCATTTTAAAAAATAAATTTGTGTGTTTGTGTTAAAGCACATGTGTGCTTTGGTTGCATAGAAGATAGACGACAACTTTCAGGAGTCAGTTTTCACCTTCTACCTTACTGGAGCATCGTCATTCTCATTTGTGCTGCTGCAGTAATAGTTATAGGCTAACTGTCCGTTGAGCTTCTAGACATTTCCCATGTCTCAAACGCCCATCTTGCCTTAGAAGTGCTAGGATTTCTGATACCCAGCACCACATCTGCTTTTTTGTCTGGAGTATGAGATGGTTATAGTCTGATTTGTACAACAAGCACTTCTATGCACTGAGCCATCTCCCTCATCCTGGTTGGATTTTTGTTGTTTGGCTTATGTTGAGAACTAGCTCCTAACATGTATCCTTGAATTAGTTGCCTTTCTCCCTCTGCCTCCTATGAGCTGGGAATACGTTTTTTTGTTTTTGTTTTGTGTGTGTGTGTGTGTGTGTGTGTGTGTGTGTGTTTATATAAAATGTACCACATGCATGCCTGGTGTCCACCCTCAGAAGCCAGAAAAAGACATCAGATCACTTGGAACTGTAGTTATGGACAGTTTTGAGTGACCCTGTGGATGCTGGGAACTGAACCCCAGCCCTCTACAAGAGCAGCAAATGCTCTTAGCCACTCAGCCAGCCCCTTATTCATCTGTAAACCAAACTAGGAAATGTTATCTCTTTTAAGAATACTAAGTATTAAGTATGATTTCCCTTTAGGCGTCTTTTGTAAGATTGAAGAAATTGTTAATATCAGAGGTATCTACAATAAAGTGTTAGTGGTCAGATATCAATGCCTAATAAACTTTGCTATGATCATAATTTATATCACATATTCATAACTTTAATAAATATTGTTTTGTTTTAGTATAAATACATCAACCCTTAAAACTGGGGAAATTTTATCATCCTAAAATTCTGATGTTTGTTTATACTTCACATTTTCAGCTCGAAGACGGGATGTCCATTTGTCAAAAGAACAGGAGAGCCGCCTACCTTCTCACTGGCTCAAAAGTAAAGGGGCACACACCACCATGGCAGATGCCCTCTGGCGCCTGCGGGATTTAATGCTTCGAGATACTCTCAACATCCGACAGGCATACAACCTAGAAAATGTTTAATCACGTCATTGTTTCTTCTATGGAAGCAAAGAGTTGTGGAGCGGTAGCCATTTTAGTTACTGGGGTGGGAGGGAGGAACAAAGGATGATAATTTTTATTGCATTTTACTGTACATCACACAGCCATTTTTATATAAGGACACTTTTAATAAGCTATTTCAAATTTGGTTTTGTTACATTAAGTTGACTATCAAATACACAAAAGATTTTTTTGCATATGTTTCCTTTGTTTAAAACCAGTTTCATAATTGGTTATATATAGTAATAGTTTTATCTTTACTTGTTAAAGGACTTAAATCAAAGGTTTTGGCTTGGCTTTGGTTTTCTTTTTTATAAATATATATATATTATATATATATATACACACACACACAAAAGAAAAAAATGAAAAAAAGTTTACAAATTTAAGTTGACAATGAAATGTGAAGTTGGTCCTAGTTTACATCTTAGAGGAATGTATATGTATGTTTTACATGCCTAAATATCTGCAGGTTTTCTTACAGGTAAAACGAAGTACTTTGAAAAGTTTAGATCATATATGTGTGACGGATGCGGCATATTTGCTCTATTAACACAGAGGCTTATATAGAAATCTAAAGTCACTGCTATATATCCATCCACAGTTAGCATAACTGAAGGAAAAAGTAACTTTTGTGCTGAGTTAGACATCTGTATTGTCAGTGATTCTTGTAGAACATATGCTCAGATCTGAGTTATATTTAGTTTTGGAAGGTAAGTTTAAGAGTACTTTTGATCAGTTTATGATTCAGTTTATGATTTTAGTTTATGCCTTCATGTTATACATATATGATTTGAAACTGTACATTTGTTACCTTGAAAAACATTGAAGAAAGTACTGAAGTATGCATGGAGGTGGTTTATTTTAAGCATAATACCTAACCTAAGAAAGAGTATACATGGACACAAGCTGTGCCTTGCACATTACTGTGTAAGGGTAGACTGCCTAAATAGACCGATGTCCTGGATTCTTTATTTCCTTGTTATCAGTTATAGTATTTTGTTTGTTTCAGGGTTGGAATTCTCAACCAGAAATAATTCTTTCTAAAATATTTTAAAATTCAGCTTGTGCTTTGGATTATAGAAGGAAATTATTACAGATCCCAACACTTGGATTTGGTGACCTTGTCTTTTCTTTCTTTTCTTGAGACATGGTCCTACTACCAACCCTGACTGGACTGGAACTCACAGTATAGACTAGGCTAGTCTCAGACACCTGCCGCTTCCTCCCAGGTGCTTGGGTTAAGGGCAAGCACCATCACGTTCAGGAGCCACAGCCCTGTCTTTCTACCATGGCCCTAGAGTAAACGCTGAGGCAGTATGCAGTGCTCAGGCGGCAGCACACAGTCCACACAGTGGGGGTTTTGAACCCGCTTTATTCTAACTGGGTGGATTTGTTGTACTGATGCTGCCACTGCCCTGTTGTTCATTTAGAATGATGGTTAAATGACACTCTTCCTTTAAAATATAACGGATCAGTACTCGTGTTTAATTGCCATGCTTAATAAATCATGAGAACAAAAGAGTATAGAATGGAAAGCAGTCCCTGGTAGCTACCTTAAATACAGGAGCCCTGTAACTTAATACCAGTAGTCAACCACTGGATCTCAATTTTCATCAAGTATTTTAAATAATCTTAAATTTTAAAAAATGTACTGCAGAGTATGCCATTATCTTATTGTTAAACTGAATCAAATAAATCTTTGATTCCTGGTTATTTGGACCATTGACTCATCATGGACTATATAATATAATCAGATTCTTTTCTTTTTAGGTATCCTTGAATTACACCAAAGAACCAGAAACTTAATTTTGGTTAAATTATTTATTTATTTCATGCATTCATTTTCTTTTTCTTTTTAAAGGTTTAGATGGGGCACCTTGGGGAGTCTCTAAAACCACTTCACTGTCAGCAACCAGGGGTACTAGAAGCCAGAGCACTCTTCTTACTGGCTCCTTCCTAGTGCTCTAGTGCTGTAGGAACCAAGAGCCAGCCCCAGGTTCCCTAAGGCAGTACAAATCCAGCACAGGGTGCTGTGTCCCTAAGACAAGCCCTGATTACCTTAAAAAAAAAAACTAATTAATTAAAAGCATTTAAGGTACTATTTATTTTAGAATCATGCTTTTGGAGAGTAACAGTGATTACTTAGGGTATAATTTTAAGATCAGACATCTTCAAAAACAGAAAAAGCCCTGACTTAAGGCAGTACAAGTAAATAATACACTTTCTCATGACTTTTAAGAACTGTAGTAATGTGGCTTAGGAAATATAATGACCTGATTGTTTTCAAAATGTAAGTTCCTGTGAAGAACTTTGTTTATATTGGGTTAGGGAACCTATAGGTTTAAAATAGAGTATCAGCCAGCTGACTTAAAAGACCTTGGTTTTACTAAGTCTGCCTTCCCCTTCTGAGGAAGAACTGAGTGGGTGAGGGACACTTGTGTAAAATCTCCAAATTTGTGTTACAACTTTCACCTTGAACGTTTGTTTCCAGACCTGATTAAAA